GACTATTAAGTTTATGTTGGTTACAATTGTTCTTCATTTAAAATATTGTACTGTTCTTTCTTTCTTTTTGCAATATACATGATACATGTGGAGTTTGCATAGGAATTTGTTCATTTTTTTCAATTAATTCTCACAAACACTATCTATCTGCCACTGGCCTGGCCTCTCTGTCAAATTTTAAAACACAATGTTTCAAAAAGGTTTCTCATGCCTGAGACACATCATATATAGGGTGAGGCAGCATAACTTCCTTTTTTCAAAACTTAATAAAGCCCATTGTATGAATCAGAAATTTTTATTTATTTTTTATAATGTAGGTGCATACCTAAAGTTTTGTTTTACGTAGTTTTGAAGATCAAATTAGGTAGGCGACATCCCCCATTCTCCATACACTGAGTAAACCGATTTCTGGCGTTTGTCGTGTCTCTTGCCAGCATAGCAGGAGTTATGTTGGCAATTTCTTCCTGGATGTTAGTCTTCAAATCTTGTAGGGTCCTTGGACGGTTCACATAAACATGGGATTTCAAAAAACCCCATAGAAAAAAATCACAAGAGGCCAAATGTAGAGAGCGGCCAAATCTGCTCGAAAAGTAGGCCTCAATGGCAAAAGCACGCTCCTCACTGTTCCAACACATGATGGCGACTGAACTGTGTCAGGACAAAACTTTATACTCCTGCCTCTCGAACGAGACCAATAGCGCTCCGCTACGTCTTAAACCGATTGAATTGCGCACATTTTTAAAAAGGAAGTTATGCTGCCTCACCTGTATAATATAGAAATATTTCTTGGTTCTCCATGCAATACTTTCGCTTCAAAAAGGGCTCCACAGCTGAAACAGTTTGAGAACCCTTGCTCTAGTCTACATTACCTCTTGATGTTAAAATACTAAGTGCCAGCAGATGAGTATGCCTTGGGGTAAATTATATTCCTTTTCATAAACTATGCCTCTTGACAGGGGCACACTAACACTGGAATCCTATGTATGTTTAGCCAGCAGTTCTTATGTTCAGTTAAAATTACCTAGTGCCAACACCATGGCTGCTTACATTTTTAAAAAATCCTGTATTCTCTTCTCTGCTACACACACCTCAGTGTTCCTTAGAGAACTGCACTTACTAATTATTAGTTTAATTGCTATTTTTTTCATTTTTTATTTTTTCTCAAAATGCCCCCTGGACAATTTTATCATGCCTCCCTCTCACAATTATTTAGTCCTTTTCAAAAGCTGATGCTATACAAGAAGTGTTCTCTGGCTACTTCCTGCTCTTTAAAAGGCGTTCCTGGGTCTTAAATACCCCAGAAAGAAAATAACAAAATTTGCACTTCACATTCTCTTTAAGTTAGCAATTTATTGTATGAAAAGGAATCATACAAGGTCTACATAAGATTTATTCAAAGGTGTTTTGACATTGCCTTCCCCTAAGTCTGAGAGTGTGGTTTCATGGCTGAAAACATTTCAAGCAGCTTCCTATGTAACTGTCAGAAGCCTGGCCTGTAACTACTATATTAAAATGAAGCAGCACAGGCCATTCTATATACAAATATGAATAAAATCACTAGGAAGTGTAACAAAATGTGTAGTGTGGAATACTTCTGTTCAGGCTTCCTGTTAGCACTGACTATTTCCAAGACATTTACTCCATTTGATTTCAAACAGACACTTCTTTTTCCTCACTTGCATCAAAACCCAGATCGTCTGTAGCCAATAAAACATTACGTTTTCCCTGTACTATATAATGTGTGTGCATGTGTATGTGTGTGTGCGTGTGCATGAGGGGTGTCCCCCTCCCTGGGTATGCCTGCAAATCCTTGAGATTGTCTCAATTTAACTGATAATTTTACAGACACAGAACATACACTAAAGTGGAAAAGCTGTGAATAAAAAATCTTTTTAAATCTGAGATGACATTTCTCTAGGAATCATACACCACAGAATCATAATGGGGGATCTAGATATTCCAAGAGGTGTGGTGTTCTCTCTAGGAATATCAAAACCATCCAACACGACTCTATGGTCAACTTTCAGCAGAAGTTGATCAGAGTCACATTAGATGACCTAGAAATTCCCAGAAAGAAGTTTTTAAAAATTAAATCTGCAAAAGACAAACATGCAAATGTGGAGGGACAACGGTACAATATTTTCATTTTAATACTACTAAACAATGATTTAACAGCCGCAGACTTAAATGTATCATTTATTACAACATGCATAAAGGGAAGGAACAATTTGGAGTACAGTTATAGCATACTGCTCAATGGAAATAGTCAATGATATCTTATTTGTGCTTACACATTTCCTAGGTTCAGTTCATTATTTGCAAAATAGAACGTTGAATATCCTAAAAAACTCACTTAGGTTGTACACTGATCTTTCAGAATTAAGAATTACTAGTCACAATAAATGTTATGCTCCCATTTTACCATATACAGAACACTCTCTCTTGCAAAGGATTACAACTGAACACAAGCCAGACTCATAAATTATTTGTAGTCCATGTTTCATCACCTACAGAACCACAAAGGCTGTTTATAACATGTATGAGAAAAAATGTGCAATAAAAACCAGCATAATAATGTACAGAATAGACTCATAACACATCATATCAACCAGAAATGGGCATAAGAATCTGTTATGATTACAATTCCACTGATATATCAACTACGTATCCAAAAACTATTTTACTGTTTAGTTCATAACCTGAATTTAATAAATTAACTTGGCTTTATAGCACTATAGGAGTAAGCTCAAAATCTTGCAGAAACATTGCTTTGGTCTGTGCTAACAATAATACAAACCACAGACTAAGTTTCCAAGTGTAGAAACAATTGCCTTGCTTTATTTTTCATCTTTTCTGAACAATTAAATTTAATCCAATCTGTGTGTGCTGTATCTTCTGGATGTACAGACAAGTCAAATAATGTCTCTGCATACTGCAGCAAATGGCAGTTACTACACCATCTGAAAACCCATTTCAAACTTGGATTTGCTAACTGAAATCCTGGTTTGTCCATTCAGATATAAGCTTTCTACAACTGTAATTTAGCATGATGTTTGAATTGACTTATTAAGGACACAGTAAATATAGCTGGCAACATTCATTCAAAAATATTTGATGTTATTTAGAAGATCAATAGCAAATAATTTAACATTTAAACAAGAATTTTAAAAAAGTGTTTTACAAGCAACTTTTGGTGTTCTGTGATATTTACTTGGTATCCATTTGTAGCAGTCCTTTGACTTTTCAGCATGCCTGACTCACAAGGTTGAAAAATAAAGTTCTTTTCATAACCATTCCATAATCCGACAGCCCCTTACTGAGTTATGACACTTTGCCAGATCAAATAATGTTCATTTACTTATGAATATTAGTATGAACTATTTTTAGATACAGTGATTTAATAAGGTCGCTAAAGTATATTCTGCATTTCTGGAGGATATTCTTCCATTTAATTCCTTTTCTGTTTAGCTCTTTAAAAACACATTTAATTTTAAAATTATAAGCAAAAAAGTACAATGTACAGAAAATAAAACAAGATTTATAGATCTACAGCTGCACATTAATATAGACATATAATACAATCCAATATTTCAAACAGGATCTACGATACTTCATATTACATCTTTGTTATAATAAAAGCTTGGTTTTAAGGCAAAATCACTCAATTTAGATGTTGGACTACTAAGGCTAAGGACAGGCCTAAACACAATTTTATCAAAAGCAGAACATTCACCAAAGAATGTAGAACAGTACGTTGTGTAATAAATACAGTTCTATCTCCATGGCTGCTTTGTGCAATTAAACCTGGGAGTTGCTTCATATAAGTGTGTCATTACATTCTGTATCTCTCTGGCAAGGATTAGCCATGTTACAACACTACTTATTACAAGTATAGCCCAAAACTACCAGCAGCAGATACGTGTCATGACAAAAGAATCAGCATTTCTTGCTGGTTTAAATTGGTAAAGGTATTTTCTGCTTTAGAGAAATGAACCAGTTTATCCACAAATTATATTTTAACTAAGTTTATTAGGTCACTTCACTCTTGTGAAATGTGAATATCAGATAGCACAATATTATGAGATATAAAAGTACCAAATGTTCCTCTATTAAGAATATAAGTCAGATAAAACAGTGTTTCCAAACTAAATTCAAACAATTTTACAACTTTCATGGTTTCCTATATGATTTGGCAATAATATTCAAATGTAAAAATCAAATTGATTTTTCAAATGTTCATATAAATGTGGATATACAACTTTCAATATAAGTTAAATTTTCTTTATGTAAGAAATGTTTCTATAAATGTACTTGAATATCATTAATTAAAACTGCTTGTTATTATTTCCAATTTGAGGATTTTTTTCTTAGCCTCCAAGAAGAAGTACGGCAGTACGCAAAAGTATCTTGTAATCATAAAGCTGAGCCAAGGAAAGCAGGAAAGCTGCTTAAAACAGGAGCATGTAATTCCTGAGCTCAGTGACGCATATGTCGTCAGCAACAGAAAGGGGCTTCCGTGTGTATCTCTCCTTGTTTCTTCCTTCAGTTCTCAAGGGCCCCCATTCTTCTGGACATAATAACCAATGTCAGAAAGAAAACACAGGAGAGATGCAACAAAAACATGTCCCATTTCTCAGAATGTTTAAGTATTGACATCCGCCATTTTCTGAGCAGAGGAGGAAGACATGTTGGAACAAAAACACAAAAGAGAGCAGCCATTTCCACTAGTTCATCCCAATCGGCACAGTAGCCAGCTACTTCTATTGCTTCAGATAATACAATTGCTTTAATAAGAATTAAATAATTTAATTGGTACTGGAGCTGAAGTGAGGGGGGAGATAATCTGCTGGCTGGGAAGGGCCCATCAATATGCTTTACTAGATACAGTTCATTACAACTCTGAGGAAAGCTTATATTGCTTCAGAACAAAACAAGATACATTGATCCTGATGGGTTAAGAGATAACAAGTATTCTACCTAATGAGAGCTATAATTCTTACCGTATGTGAGGGATGCCAACTCCCCCCTGCAGAATCTTGTACAGTTTGCTTTCATATAATAGCTGGGGATGCCTGGCCTTCTGTGACTCTAACTTCACAGCCACTTCCTGCAGTGGAGAAGGGACAGGGGTCAGACACTCCACAAAGAGAACCACATCTCTCTCACAGAAAAACTGAGGGCAAGGAAAGCCTTCTACAAAATAACATAACATGAAGTAACTGTCACTGTCATCAGAGTCTATAGGTAAATAAATCTCACCCTGAGGAAGAGCCACCATCAGCTTGAATTTTTCCTGTGCCTTTTAGGTGAAGTAACTACAACTGCACCAATAGAAAGCACGGTGCTCTAACAGGATGTCACTTACAAATAATAACAGTGACAATATTATAATACCCTTTCCCCCATCTACCACTACGAACTCAGCAGCGTTGTTTACAACAAACACGATCGCCCTTCAAGTATCATGTTCAAAGGGGGGGGGGGTCATTCCCAAAGCTTTCAAGCCTCCACTGCAGTCCCATTACCGCAAAGTCACGAAAGAACACTGCGTTAGCTTTATACTGCCAAAAGTATAAACATTCCCGCGATGTGTCAGAAATTCCGGGGTGTTGTTGAAGAAGAAGAAAACAACTCCAAAATGAAATTACAGAGGCCAAACCTCACTAAATGCCTCCAAAAGGCAAGGGAAGCCGACAGTAGGCGGAAAATGGCAGAGGCCCGGCCTTCAAAAGTGGGGGTGAGGCGGGGGAAGGGTTGGGAAAGAAAGGGCTGCGGTGCTTTCCGAGCTGTCCCTCCTTACCTCCCCGTTGGTGATGTTGATGGCCAAGTATATATCCCCGAAGGAGCCCGAGCCGATCTTCCGCACCAGTTTGTATTTGCCCCCGACGATGAACTCGGCCTTGGAGCCGCTGCTGCTCGCCATCGCGAAGGAGGGGTGGGTGGGTGGGTGGGCGAGGGAGGGAGGGAAGAGGAGGAGGAGGAGGAGGAGGGGGTCTACGGCTCACACGCCCAGCCCTCGCGGAGCCCCGGCTCCTCCACTCTCAGAAAGCCAGCGGGGGGAAGCGCAGGAAGAGGGGGAGAGGGGGAGCGGGGCACTCCGGTTCCTGCAGCTCTGGTCGCACTAGGCCCTTGTCAAAGCCTTCCCCGGCCGCCAGCACACTTTCCGCCCTTCGAAGAAAGCAGCCCCAGCAGCTGGGAAAAGGCGAAGCGGGTGCGGCCGCCGCCGTCAAACGGCGCTTCACTCGGCCGCCGCCGCCATCTTGTCTGCCTGGCTTCTCCTCACAGCCCTGGCGCGCGCGCCTCTCCCTCCTCTTCTGCTGATATCCAGGACACAAAATGCCTCCAGCCCACAGGCGACGCTTCTTCCCCGCGCAGAGGACTCTGGGAAACAAGAGGCGGAGGCGGCGAACACTGCCTTCCTACGCATGCGCAGGCCCGGATCGAGCGAGAGGAAAAGAGGACACAAGCAGGAAGTGTGCGTGATCTTAACGCCCCGGCAGGGCGAGGCCGGTTCAAAGGAGGCGCATGCGCAAAAACGTAGGTGGGCTGCTTTTTTTTTTCCTCCCAGGCCCCGCTAGTTGTCGCTATAGTGAACTCCTCCTCGAACTACGCACTTGCCATTATTCCGCACGCGCAAGGGAAAGACAAATGGCCGCGAGCGTATCGGTCAAGGGAAGGGAAAGGCGGGTGCGCATGCGCGAGCGGACTCCTCGGCTCAGGTTGAAAAAACCAAAATAAAGGCCGCACCCAGGCTGTCGTTCCATGCAGTTCGACTCATATGATACAGCAAACTGTTTTATATGGGTCTAGAGTGACGATATAATGCAGTTTCAAAGAAAGTGGAGATGGGGCCAATGGAGTCAGGCAGAAACCCCCAACCAGGTACCGTGTTGAAGGGACCAGGACCATACATCGCAAGAAAGCCAATTTTCACATTATCGAAGACTTTCACTGGGTTGCTGTGAATTTTCCGGGCTGTAGGCCATGTTCCAGAAGCATTCTCTCCTGACGTTTCACCCACATCTATGGCAGGCACTCAGAGGCTGTGAGGTCAAGAAAGGAGATTCCACCTGCCATTAGGAAGAACTTCCTGACCGAGAGAGCTGTGTCATGGAGGCTCCTTCTTTGGAGGCTTTTAAACAGAGGCTGGATGGCCATCTTTCGGGGGTGCTTTGAATGCAATTTTCCTGCTTCTTGTCAGGGGGTTGGACTGGATGGTCCACGAGGTCTCTTACAACTCTATGATTCAATGCCGGTCATAGATGTGGGCGAAACTTCAGGAGAGAATGCTTCTGGAACATGGACATACAGCCCGGAAAACTCACAGCAACTCTCAATATTGTTGGTTCATTTTAAATTGGGAGCAAATCCCACTTGGTCCCAACATATAGAGCTTCAATCCGGAGACATGCCAGTCAACCAAAATAGAAAGAAAAAAAATCAGCAATACCCAAGGTACAATCTTTTAGAATTTTGATAAGAAATTAGGAGGGCACGTTTCTTTTATGCCATCCCACTTTTACCCAGACCTTTCAGAGTTCTTTCCCACTGGAAGCCTTTCAGGAAAGGAGCCGAAAAATACTTTCTAAAAAAGACCATTGATCGACCTGGAGTATCCGTGGATTCGGCATTCCCTGCTTGAAAATGGCATCCCCCCAAGAAAGAAAAGATTGGTTTTGAAATTTTATATAAGGGATACCATGTTACTGTGCCTTTGTATCCAGAAATGTGGGTGTCCATGAGGGCCCTGAACCAAAACCCCACAGATACTAAGGACATCCACATTCCCTTTCAGCAGCATGTCCAGAGATCCATTTCTATTTCCATGCCTGGGAAGAAATCTGTCCAGAGCCCTGGTGAGTTGTGTACATAGGTGCCTTCGAATGGCCCGTCAACAGAATTTCGCTCAGAGGTGGTATTTGCTCGTTCTTTCCTCTAAAACAGGCATGGGCAAACTTCAGCCTTCCAGGTGTTTTGGACTTCAACTCCCACAGTTCCTAACAGCCGGTAGGAATTGTGGGAATTGAAGTCCAAAACAGCTGAAGGGCTGAAGTTTGCACATGCCTGATCTAAAACATAGCTTGCCTCACATGATAATCACTGACAGTCTCTCATCCAAGGAATAAATAAATAAATAGGCCAACACTGCTTAGATTCCAAGATCTGATAGAATCGTGTCCTACTGTGGATAAAAGGCATAATGTGGAAAGGCTTCACCTTATTGTCACTGCACCATCACCTCTGTGTACAAGCCCCCAAATGAAGAGTTCTGCTTCTCCTCCCCCGCACCAAAGGGCAGTAGTAATTGGTGACTTCAACAGCCATAGCCATGTATGGGGCTATGCCCAAGAGGACAGAAATGGAGAGGCTGTCCTCTCCTGGTCTGAACTGCACAAACTATCACTCATCCATGATAGCAAGCTCCCACCATCCTACAACAGCGGAAGATGGCACCGAGGTTATAACCCAGACCTTTTATTTGTGAGCGACAGCATTGTACAGCAATGCACTAAAACAGTGGGACCACCAATTCCAAACACACAGCACCGACCAATAATATGCCAACTGTTCCCAACAATAAGGCCTCAGGAAGTTCGATTTAAACGCAGATAAAACTTCAGAAAGGCAGATTGGACTAAATTCTCAGACATGTTAGATGACATGATCACATCGGTTGCGCCAATCCCTGAGGAATACGAGCATCTGTGGTTAAAGAGGGTCAACTGTATGCCAAACCTGTACAGTTTCAGATAGTACTTTTGTGCACAATGTTTAAAAAATGAAGGAAAAACAGAAATCTAACACTGCATATTTAAAATGTAAAAGATCATTTCTATTTTTTAAACTAAGGCTAGTGAAAGGAAACTCTTTTGTTCTAAACTCATGTGAGATGCAGTATTCTATGAATGTAGATGTAGGTGACATTGAAATGAATGGAACAAACACTAGTTTATGAAGTGAGATGATCACATCCGTCTCCCACACATTTTACAGCAAAGCATCTGTCATTTAGGAATGCTTGGACATACAGTACGTATTTAATTTCTCAACCCATTAATTAGTTATGCTTAATCACATAGCTTCAGTCTTATATGCAATGCATTTTTCACATGGCGACACCCTCCTTTTCTGTCATTGAATGTGGCTCTTGAATAAGTAAAAACACATGGCTTTTGCAATGCTGTCTGCTTGCAGTTCCCTCTTTTCCTTCATATAAAACAAGCTGAGAAACACAGGAAGCATCTGCCTAATGAAGCAACACATTTGTACAATATACAGTAAACAAAAACCCTAAACATTAACATTTTGGACAAATAGCAAAAAAACAGCAATCCCCATTCAGAGTACTAGACCTCCATCTTATAAACATGTTTAATTAGATATTTTATTTAACATGGGAGATTTTCTTTAATGAAAAACGGCCACAGGAGTTTACCAGTTTGATCAGGGGAATTACAAAGAGAAGAGTGTGTTTGGCCTTTTCTTGTCTGTCTAGTTTTTGTTGAAATCATCTTCCCATGTGTTTCTGCCTTTGGGTGAAAGCATAGTTGTACCAGCATCTTTTCACCTGAAGATGATACGGTAAAACACCATGGGTAGGTTTCCGAGCAGGAAAAACAGATGGAAAAGATTAAGCAGCCGCTGATCTCCACGATTTCTCAAGACTTAACTACTGTCTCACATGACTGTATTTTTTTAAAGTTGCACTACTTAGTTTATATCTCCTGTGAAACATAGGGCTTGAGTCTGACTAAGGGGGCAGACTTGCGCCTGGTTTGCTCACCCTTTAGAATGCAGTAGGAAATGTTCCATACTTAATAGAAAAGTTGATGTTAAGGATGAAGCTTCCTCCCTTGCCAAACTAGTTTTTTCTTTGTAGGAATATTTTTCCATTGGGGGAGATTCCACTGTCACCTGCATTTTGACATCATATGCAGCCCAGTCATAGTAGTAATTCATTGAGCACGAGGGCCCTTACAACTTAGCAGTAGTGTAGTGAGGGGGACTAAAATAGGCTAAAACTCTTTGGGCTGAAGATAAGTTTTTAGCACTTTGCTCAGGGTTTATGAGGGCATCTTTCTTTGACAGCAAACAGCAAAACAGAATGGTCTTTTTTTTCCCTGCCTCTCCTCAGCCTGGTTGCAGGTTGCAGTCCTTTTCTGAGGAAAATAAGAAGTACATCTGTTCTTGCCTCTACCACCCTTCATTTCTCTTTGCCTCTGTTGTCTCCTCCTTCAGAGTGAAAAAAATACCAGCTAGAGGTGTGCAATTCTGCCAAAAAGCATGCTGTTTCCGTGTCTATTTCGGCTAATCCCTCATTCAGGAGTGTTGCCATTTCCATTTGGCAAAGATTCAGTTCATTGGCTATAATGGTAAACTTTAAAGGCTCAATCCTTAGTCATTTTAAGGCCTATCTGCATGAAACCTCCCTCAGTTTTAGACTCCTTTTACAACTGCAGGTTGTAGACTCCTTTTACAACTGCCTGCCAAGTTTCAGAACAATTCACCAATCTACTGATTCTTTAGCCTTATTTTAGGTTTTTACCATAACATTTTTTTAAACAAGACAAACTGTAAGAGAGTGTTCTGGGAATTGTAATTGTTGGTTGTGTCAGTTCTCAGCCAATCAGAGCATGGACACAACAAGGCCTTTTATTGGCTGAGAAACAGAGAAAGAGGGGGAAAAATCTTCAACTCCCATCATGCTCCAAGAGGAATTCAGAGACTTTTCAATGCCCGCCCCATGCAAGAGTTGCTGGGAAAGCGAGTTCCCAGCAGGGCCCTCTCTGGAGGAGGAGTCTAGAGAACTCTTCCGCTGCCAGGGAGGGAGAAAAGATATTGCAGGATCTTCTCCAGGAGCTCCACAGCAGAACCCCCTGCCTCAGGTATGTTGCAGACTTAACTCCATCCTCTCCAGTAACCAATAAATCTGGCTCTCTTGATCCGTTTTGTCCAGTTTTTCAGATCCCTCCTCCCCATTCTATTTTTGGGGGATTACACAAAACAGACCACCAAATATTACAAATCACTTTTGGTCAAACTGATCCAGGCCCAAGCCTAACACCAACTCTGCACTTGGACAGTAAAAGCATAGCTTCACCACAAAGACCCTGCAACAAATTCATGATGAAGTTAGGTTTCTCCATCATAAACAAGGGAAATGAATGAAAGTGGTTTTGCCACTAGATGGGGAGACAACAGAGGCAACCCTGAGGCAAAGAAAAAGGAAGAGGAGCAGCAGAAAGAACGGAAGCCCCCTTTCTTTAGCACCTCCTTCTCCCTCTAAAACAGCCAAACTAATGTTAGATCATTTTGACGGAACCTGGAGCCCTAGATTCTACACCCCTCCTTGAAAAAAATGGTCTGATATCCCTGAATTTTTTTGTATTTTAATATGTATTGTATAGAAATACATTTTAATACATATATTATAAAATACATTTTAATGTGTGTATTTGTGGTATTTTTACAATATTTGTGTGTTTTAATTTTTCTGTAACCCACCTTGAGCCCCTGAGGAGAGGGGTAAGAAATTATGATGATGATAATGATGATGATTATTATTATTATTAAACAATCATCCCAGTTCCCAGTTACTCCAACCTGAGTCCAACAACCTCCCCAGGCCATGTTTCCAACTGAGACCAGCACTTCCAACATCCTTACTGGATCTCTCAGTGGTGCCCCCTTTGCCACAGTTTGGTAACTTAGGTACCATGTGCAGAAGTAGTTCACTTGAAGGGGGGAATGACAGGTTCTAGTTGCTGTGTGTAGTAGTGCTGTGCATGTGATCTCCCTCTCTCCCTCCCCTTCTCCCTCTCCCTTAGACTCAGAGCCTCCGTGGGTCACACCAAACCCTTGTGAGGGCCGCATCCAGCCCCTGAGCTGCAAGTTGTTCAGGCTGCATCTACGGTGTAGAAGTAATGCACTTTGACATCACTTTAACTGCCATGGATTAATGGTAAGGAATCATTGGAACTGTAACTTTACAAACACTTCAGCCACCTTTATCACAGAGCCCTGGGGCCCCACTAAACTACAAATCCCAGTCTCCTACAGTATTGAGCTGTGGCAATTAGAGTGTCATCAGAATGCAGTGTACAGTGTAGATGTACCCTATGTGATAATGTCAGATCAGTCTGATTGAAGTTAATGATTAATATTTGCATTCAAAGTGTACTGTTATTAAAAGAAAGTGGGCACAATGTATATTTCCAATTAGTTTATTTATGTGTTTATGAATCAAGTTTGAATTTATTTACCAAGGGCAACTCTGAGTTTTTAATCCTGTTTCTTAGAATATTATGACAAGAGAAGGACTATTTTGAGCTCTTTCGCACAAGGCAATTATAGCACTGTGATTCCACAATGTATGTTATGGGACTTGAGGATCTACTGATTTAGATATCCTCAGTGGGCCCGGGAACCAAACCTCTGCCAGGGACCCACTATATAATGTATAACAAAATGCATATTATCTCCAGCATTAAACGTACAATTTTCTGAAATGTATTATGTGCTTTTGGAGCATTCAGAAATTTCTGTATCTTCTAAACATTTCAAAAACAACTTATAAATATTTACTAGAAAACTAAGTCCTATTCAGTTCTGTAGTACATTTTCCTGAAGTGAGTATAACATTGGAAAACATAACAATCCAGTCTTTAGGCAAAGCTAGATGTACCAAAGTGAACTGATTTCAAAGTTTAGTATAGATTCAGTGCAGCTTTTATGTTCTTCTCGTTTGTACATTCTCACATCCAGCATTCGCCAATCTGGTCAGTAATAATGTCCATAGGCATTTAAAAAAAAATCTATGTTAATGAGCATTTTGGGCCACTTCTTAAAACACTGAAAGAAAACTAGGAGAGAATTGGTTATGTGCTCGATCACACAGCAGGAATTAGGTCGTGCTTGCGTGGAAGTTCTCCATTTTCACACTATAGCACCGAAATAGGAGTGTGAGGAAATTGAGTCAAGAGATGCAAGAATAGAGAATAATCCCATCTGTTCAGAATATGATTGCTTCCTGGAAGCTCATGAAGATAGGTGAAATATTCTCCTGGAGAGCCAAGTAACACATTGGTTCACAGAATGCCTGGAGTGCATCTACACTGCCATATTAATGCAGTTTGACTCTGCTTAAACTGCCATGGCTTAGTGCTATGAAATCATGAGAGTTGTAGTTTGATGAGGCAGCAGAACACGTCAGAGAAGGCTAAAAAGGTCTTGGAGAACTACAACACCCCTGATTCCATAGGATTGAGCTATGGCAGTAAAAGTGGTCTCAAAGTGCATTAATTCTTCAGTGTAAATGCATCCTAGTTGGTGGGTCTTCTTAAGTAACCTGACTGCAGTTGTCTCCACCTCCATAAAGCAGCAACTGCTGGAAAATGATAATTTAATTGGAATTATCGTGCACAAATGCGGTAAATAAGAAATTTATTTCTAGTTATGAAAGTATAAGATATGTTTTAATAGTTGGTAATGTATGGCATTAATCTAACCTGATGCATTCTCTTGAAATGTTGACTTCCAGAACTCTGTTTTGCCAGAATTTCTTTCCGTTACTGTTTTGAGACCACATATGTTGCAGTTCTATGCAGAACGCATGGAAGCAATTTGTTACAAGTAATGTTAATTGTAATTTTTCCCAGTTAATACATAGCTGAGTAATAATTAACTATGTAACAATAACTAACAAACAGATAATTGTTATAAGTAATCTTATAAATCGAATCTGGTTTTTATTTTTTTGTGACTGTTTTAATAGGATTTATGTTTATGCCTTATAATGTTTAATTTTGTTGTATGACCTGTTTGGCAATTGAATGTTTTGCCCTATGTTGGAAATCACCCTGAGTCCTCTTGAGTAGATAGGGTGATATATAAATAAAGTTTTGTTTCTTATTTATTTATCTTATTTATGCTCCTCCTTTCTCTACCTTGGGGGGGGGGGGACTCAAGGCGGCTTACAAATGGCACCTAGACAGCGCCTTGAAGCATACAAAATTCATCTAAAATGGTTTGGGTTAAAATTACAACATAATAAACATGATTAAAATACATCAAGGTTAAAACACGTCATCCAGAGTTCAAGGTCTAAGGCCATTCCGTGATCTCTTGCACGTAGTTCCACATTAAGATTACTGCACTGCTCTATTTTGTGAAAGCCTGCTTCTCAGAGCCAGGTTTTGACTTTCCTCCTGAAGGCTAGGAAGGAGGAGGCTAATCTGATGTTGCAAAGAAGGGAGTTCCCCAACCAAGGGGCCACCACTGAAAAGGCCCTGTCTCTCATCCCCATCAGTCGTGCTTGCAAGGAAGGTGGGACCGAAGTAGGGCCTCCCCAGATGATCTTCGTCTCTGAGTTGGTTTGTAGGGAAAGATACAGTCTGACAGGTAGATTGGGCCGGAACCATTTAGGGCTTTATAGGCTAAAGCCAGCACTTTGAATTGTGCTCGGTAGCAAACTGGCAGCTAGTGGAGCTGATGTAGCAGGGGGGTTGTGTGCTCCCTGAACATCGCTCTGATGAGCAACCTGGCTGCCGCTCACTGGACCAGTTGAAGCTTCTGAACAGTCTTCAAAGGCAACCCCAAGTAGAGTGCGTTGCAGTAACTAGAGCATGGACCACCATGGACAAGCCAGACTTCCCAAGGTATGGGTATTTATTTTATCTATAAGGAGCATTGGTTCATTACTTTCATTGTGTTTTGTATCACAGTCCAGCAGTTAATATCTTTCTGGTGTTTTTTAAAAAACTAGTTAACAAGCAGTTAGATAAAAACAATGTTAACAATAATACGTACTTGAATAATACTTTTTGAATTGCAACTTGGTAACTAGAAATGGAGGGGTCCTTAGAATTGTAGATACAATATTTATATTTTAAAGGTAACTTTTAAAGTTGTCTGTTTTTCATGTACAGTAATGTTTGCAGAAGTAAATAACAGCCATTTATACAGAACATGCATACATGTCTATATTTTGACACCTCTTTTTGCTTTCCTTTTTATTACTCTGCTTTCTTCCTCTTTATACTTCAAATTGAGAAAGTTTTGGCTACAATCCTCCATATAATTTTTGGGGAGTGTACCACTGAATCACTGGGGCTGTTTCCAAGGTGGCATAGATCAAACTGTTGTATCAGTTAATATTTGTTAATGTGACTTCAAGTTGACTCTAACTCCATGACAAAGTTTTCTGGGCAAGATTGATTCAATAGTGACTTTCTAGTGCTTTCCACTTGGGATTAAGGAATGTGCCTCGGCCAAGATGACATAATTTGCTTCCATTGCTGAGCAGCGCTTTGAGTCCTGGTCTTCTGAAAATCTAGTCCAATGCTCAAATCATTATATCACACCTGCTTTCCTTAAGTGCATGTTGTTTTTGTTGTGTTATGTCTTCAAATCATTTCCAACCTATGAGGTTTCTTGGCAAGATTTCTTCAGAATGGTTTGCCTTTGCCTTCCGCTGAGGATAAGAAAGTGTGACTTGTCCAAGGTCACCCACTGAGTTTCCTGGCTATGTGAGGATTCAGCTCCAGACCCATAGTCTAACATTCAAAACACTACACCATGCTGACTCTCTAAGTGTCTCTTACTTTTTCTTCAAAAGAAAAAAAACAACATTCTGAGTTATATTTGGAACCAAGGATTTGGCTGCTATTTTGAGACTGCTGAAGTCTTTCCATAGAAATGTAACAGGCTGAGCTGAGAGTGGAGTATTAGCAGTTTCCCCTTCCATTATGGTAGTATACTTTATAACATAATTGTATTTATTTGGCATGTCCAGACTAGTGTAATTTGATTTCTCCCTCTCATTCTTAATAATCTCTTGGATTCTCTAGATGGCCTTTGCACTCAGCATGAAGCAATAACATTTGGGGATGCTTTTGGTGCGTTCCAGCTTGGAGTTTTCTAAGTGACTGCACTAACATTAGTAATATATTCTGAATCTCATAAGGATCCCAATAACCACACTTTTTAGAGTCTTCTTCTTTGCTCTCATTTGCTATTCTGCACTATTCTTTTGCAAGGCTCGTGATTTGGAAAATTGCTATTTGTCCAAAACTTGATGCTTTATATATTTTCAATTTCTTTACACTTTTATTTATTTATTTACCCTATTTGTACCCCGCCTTTCTCTACCCCAAGAGGGACTCAAGGTGGCTTACATATTGTGATTATTCAATGCCTAACACACATACAGTAGAGTCTTGCTGATCTACCTTTCACTCATCCAACGTTCTCTGTTATCCAATGCAGTCTGCCTACCACCCAGATCTACAGCTGTTCCAATACATTGTGATGTTTTGGTGTTAAATTTATAAATTCAGTAATTACTACATAACGTTACTGTGTATTGAACTGCTTTTTCTGTTGATTTGTTGTAAAACATGATGTTTTGGTGCTTAATTTGTAAAATCATAACATAATTTGATGTTTAATAGTTTTTTCCTTAATCTTTCCTTGCCAAACATTTTCACTTATCCAACATTCTGCTGGCCAGTTTATGTTGGATAAGCGAGACTCTACTGTACAACATTAAGCTTAAATCCATTGAATTAAAATTAATACATATCAAAAACTTGAAAACTACATTCAATATTAAAATCATGCCATCCAAAATCATAGTCTGAGGCTGTTCCATAGTTATTGCACATATTCCAATTATATTATATGTTTGCACTGCCTTTTCTGCATTACCTTAAATTCTCAAAACAATGCTGGTCCAAGAGTCAAACTTAAGATCCAATTTTTTAAAAAATGAATATTTTAGATGTGTTGGATAATATCCTTCATTTTTATTTCTTCCCAGATTTGTTCTTGTTCTTTGGAACATGATGCGCAAAACATGTAGAGCTGAGAAAGACACAAAGCATTTTTGCCTCACTTTTATAGCTCCTCTTTATGAGATTTCGTTTCTTTTGGAAACTGTTACAGCTTGAGTCATGCCTACTTGAAGAATCAGCAAAAGCAGGTCTCCACTTATGGATCTGTAACTAGACCTTATATGGATGTTTAAGAACAACTAATGGCCCACATGCTTGCTCTTATTGTACAATGTTGTATAACACTGCCACCCAATGGATACCTGCATCTTTGCTTAAATCCTTTTTTGTGGAGAATCCTTATAATATGCCAGGGTGGTCCCATGTGATCAACGTACAGTGTGAGGATGATACGAAGTGCTATTTCTCTTTTACCACCAAGAATGCTACGGAAATTCTAAATTTCTGTTTGGATGCAGTGAAAGATTGTATTTGAGTGAATAAACTGAAGCTCAGTTCAGCCAATATGGAAATGCTATTGGTTAATGGGAGAGTTAGTTTAGCACAGGATAACAACCTGTTCTGGATGGAGTAGTGCCTTCTGAAAGATCAGGTTTGCAGCTTGGGAGTGTTATTGAGCCTTGGATTACACTTGGAGGACTGGGTGGCTGCTGTGCCTTTGTTTGGTTTGGTTGGGGCACCTAGGAAGATGAGATTGGCCATACCTTCTGTCTTAAACCTAGAAGTCATTGATTTTTATAGTGTTAAATCTTTTTATATGAATTTTATTATGTGATTTAACTTGTTTTAAACAATGTATTTATGTGTGTTCGGCATCTAATTGTTGCCAGTCTATACGCCGGCCTGAGTCGCCTTCGGGCTGAAAAGGGCGGTATAAAAATGTGGCAAATAAATAAACACTTCCTGAAGAGACTACCACTATATGGAAGCTGTAGCTAATGCAAAATGTGGAAACCAGACTGCTGTCTGATGTGCATTTTAGAGACCATACAACACGGTCATACAGGAAGTGTCCTGAAGTTTGCTTTCAAGCCTAATTCAAGGTTCTTGTCTTGACTTATAAAGCCCTAAAGAGTTTTGGATATCTGAAAGATTGCTTCCTCCTAGTGGAACTCAAAGATTAGTGGAGGCCATGTCATGTATCCTATCACTCTGCGAGGTACACATGGCAGGGCTTTCTCTATAAAAGCAGCATAATTATGGAACCCCTTCCCAAGGGAAGCTGGTCTGGCTCCATCCCTCCTGAATTTCCAATAGATTGTGGAGACTGTTGATTCAAGTGTCCTAAACATGAATACCTACCATCCTGAGACATTTTCTGTTTGCATCCCTTCTCACCTTACCCAGCAAAGTACATGTACAAGGTGACCCCCACATTCATGGGACTTCACATGGATATAAAATCCATTAACAATAGCGAACCCTATTGAAATGAAATATTTTTGACACAGGAATAGCTAGCATGATGATGGAGGATCTAGAAAATACCCAGAAAGAACATATTTTGTCAGATGTGGATAAATGAAACTGCAGATACCAGTCCTGTGGATATGGCGGATGTATTGTATTTATCTTCTATATCTCTCTTACTAGAATTCAAGACTCCTTTAAAATTTAATTCCATAGGAAGCAATGGTTTTCCCATTACAATCAGGTAGCACATTTGAAGTGACGCACCTTTGTTCCAGAGTACTCCTCGATTCCTGATGCCTGCTAGCACCAAAAAACAAAACAAAAAAAACAAAAAACAAAACCAAACAACCCTGACATTATTTTGTTATTATGACCAGGAAACTGGGCTTCATCCCTACCCAATTCTATAACCAATTACAATTGAGGGTAAGAGAATATATTTTCTCTCTGCCACTGCAGCACAATATTGATACCAGCCAAATGCAATGTTGGGCAGCCCACATTGTCTGCAGCAGTGTAGTTATTTATATATAAAATTATCTCCGGGTGACTGGTTTCACAGGCTTGGCAGGATATTGCTTTCAGGCCACCCGTTCTGTGCTAGGATTCGAAAACACCCTTTCTGTTTCCCCAGCCCATCCCTTTCTGTTATGACTGCATTGTGCCCTTCAAAGAAGGACGTAGCCCTTGCCAATATCAGCTCCATTCTGAAGCAGAGCTGTGGCTTTCCTGTAACCTTGGCTGGTGCATTATTACTACAGGAGATGAGAGCTTGTTTATTAAGTTTCCTTTTAGAGCCACCCATTGAATATGTGGTGATGGCGGCAGATGAAAGGGAGCTTTTGTGCTATCAGAAGTCAAATCATTATAGGCCAAAGTGCAGGAACAGTATCGGGAGAATCGAGGTGAATTGGAAACTGGGCCAGCTCTGCCATGAGGCACAGCAAGGCAGTAAACCTCAGGCATCAATTTTTGAATATTGTGGAAGGAGGGTTTTTTTTCCCTCACAGGGATGTGTTGAGGGATTTGAGAAATCAAAATGGGTTGTCTTATCTTTGGTTACACATTTTGGGTAGGTAATTTATTACTTGATTTCTGGCAAAAAATGTCTTTAGTCTTTGGCTTTCAACTTTTCATAGATGAAAATCAGAATATTATATAGTAAAGCAATATTAGAATGTGGTCCAGATGACAGGTTATTAATGAGGCAGAGCACATAAGCCAGGAGAGGAGTTTATTTTTGCCTTGAGTTTGCTTTTGCTGGAGACTACAGGGAAGGACAAGTTTCCACTGAGTTAATTGAGAGCAAAAGGTCTACAGCGACTGAAGTAAGCTTGGGACAATTGGGACTGGAAAGAAACACTGATATTTTGAAAGCAGCTAACGAAGTGTGATATTAGAGAATCAATTGGGACTAGCCAAGGTTGGAAAGAAAGCAGGAAGGCCTCACCTGATTCTGTCCTTCATTGTTTAGCAGTTCATACACATTGCTGTTCCTGCAATTCAGTAAGTCATCAAAACTAAAGGATAGGAAATCACTTTTGTTTCAGTTCACTTTTATAAACATTTCACAACATCCACAAAAGAATCTGAAGAGAGAAAATAATAGATTAATCCATTCAAGCCGAGGACATTCAGTCATATGTCTTTGGTCATATTAGCACTGATTTAGGATTGGCGTCTTTATCCAGCCGAGATGTTTCTCCTTTTTTCAGACTATTATTGCAGGCAGGTACAACACGATCCTCTCCATTCTGGAAATAACCACACCTTTTGAATTTGGGCAGTGAAAATTGGAAATTATTCTACTTTAGTTCATGTTTGAACTTTTCATCAACATTTACAAATTTTGCAAGTAATTTGTATTTAAAGTGACATTGACAGAGTTCTCTATTCATAGTGCTATAGACAGGTCTTTTAAAAAAACTTGGCTTTTTCATACCCTGTTCGCTTTGAATCAAGGCAACATATGAGAATACTTCATTGAGCTGGAGGGTACAATTACACATGACTTGAGGCTATTCATGGTTTCAGTTAATTTAGAATTTTATTGAAATCCCAGCAGGTGAACAGAGTATCAGATCTATGAGATAAAGGTACAATATATTAGAAATCAGAAAAGGTGATGAGTTTCCAAGTACGATAGTTAACCAACTAGATTCAAAAGTCAGATGAAGTTTTCTCTTACATACAAGACTTAGAACACATAAAATTAGATAGTGTTATATCCCTTTATAACACACGGCTTTTGCCTCTAGCCATCCATCAGAGTCTAGTGAAAGCCTCCTTTGTCACCCTTTGATTTGCAGTTTGGCCCAAAGCTCTAGGGAATATAATTATCTATTCCACGAGGAAAACTCCTGAGGACCTTGAATGAAAATTGAGGAAAACTTATTCAGGCTTTTCATATGACACAGATAACTCCAGGGAGAAATGCGTGTGCGAGCATATGTTAAAATTAAGCAGTGAAGATAGACTATAGCAAATTACCCTCCCAAGTAAACTTCATTCCAAATTTTGATACCAAGGACATAGGTTTTTTTTTTTCTGTGTTAAAACTGGAACCACATATGGCTTAAGAATCCCCCTCTCCCTGGAAATAATAATGTGTATTTTCTTAATCTCTTTCAGAATTCAACTGCAAGATGGTCATGTTCATATTATGTCCAGATGTCATCCCTTCATAATAAAAGATCATATATTATTAGCGTTGCCAGGTCAAGACTCTCAGTTGCTGAGATTTCAGGGCAAAGACCTGAGACCTAAAGACAAACCTATTGTGATTTCACAGAGAGGCAAAACCAGGTAATGTTCCCAGGGCAGCTCCTGGTGGTGTCATTAGGCATGATGCATTAATTGCAGTTGCGTGGAGTATGCAACTCAAAAACATTTAGTGTTGGTGAATCAAAGCAAAGGCTTATAGTATTCTTCAGCACTATAACCAGTTAGTTGTTTAGGGAAGCAAATGCAGATAGATTCCTAACCATTCTTTATCTGCATTATCAGGTGGCCTGGGGACATGGAATGACACTTACTATTCCCTCCTGTTATCTTTGCCACAGTGATCTCTGAGTGTGAGAGCAGGAAGGGGGGCTTTCTGCCTTACCTGGGTAAGGAGTCCCAGAGTCAAGGGGCAGCCATCAAGAAGGCCCTCTCACATGTTCCCATGAACTGTAGCCAGTGCCAATTAACAACCTGCCTGCGACTCTTTGAACCAGTCAAACTTCCAAACGCTCTTCAAAGATAGTCCCAGGTGGAGCACGCTACAGTAATCCAAATGAAAGGTAGCTAAGCAATGTACCACCGTGGCCAGATCTGGCATCTAAAAGAATGAGTGCCGTTAGTGCAGAAGTTTTAAATGTGCAATGGCAGCCCTAGCCACAGTAGATACCTAGGTTTCCAGGTTCAACACCAAGTCTAGGATTACTCCCAAACTGCAAACCTGTGTTTTCAGGGAGAATGTAACCCCAGTTAGCATCTAGTATTTGGAAGAATAAGAGATATCTAAAGAAGCAAGACATGACATGACATTAGCCTCACAAAAAGCACTCTCTAATCCTGGCTGGCTAAAAATTATTTATAGTTCCAACTAAGTAGCTTTTAAATTCCTTTGCCAAAATCAACTGGCTTTTAAAATTGCAGCTGTAGGCAATCTTGTCCTCAAAAGAGAAATGTTTATGAAAAAAAGGGTACATGTTTCCAGATTTCATGTTGACTGCAGAAATTAAACTATTATTTGAACATATTATTGAACATCTTATTGATTTAGTGATTAACATCAACACTGAATAATTAACATAAATCTGAAAATAATCAGATTTAGATCTAAGGACCCTTCTACACTTCCCTAAAACCCGGTAGGTTTCTGCCAACACCCCCAACACAAACCCATGGCTTCCCTTCGGGGGAGGTGGCATCCAACCCTTCTCCATCCCTCATTTTCCCCTCAAATGATGTGTCAATTATACACCTCATTTTAATCATTTTTAATTTTAAAAATTTTAATCATTTTCATCTGGAAATTCATTAATTTCATTTGCATCAGGAGAACTCTCTGGAGGGGCCTGTGCTGCCAGCAGGTCACTCAGGTAAGTTTATGAGGAGAAAATGGGGGCCTGGGAAGAGGGGGTGCCATCCCGCACTTTTGGGCTTCAGGAGCCCAAAGAACTGGGATGTCTATGAGGATTGAACCCTGGGATTGCAGTCCCAGGAGTCCATCCCCAGGAGTCAATCCCCACAGGCGCAGCACCTGCAAAGATCCAGACCTTAGTTTACAGTCAGGACCTTTGCAGGTGTCAAACTAATCCAGAGAAAACTGGGATATCCCAGGTCCCTTCCACATAGCTGAATAAAATCCCACATTTTCTGCTTTGAACTGAAACATATGGCAGTATGGACTCAGATAACCCAGTTCATAGCAGATATTTTGGGATTTTCTCCAGATTAATCTGGGTTTACCTGATGCATTGTTTGGACACCTCATGTAAACCTGTGACTCATCACGAGTTTTAGCATAGTGTAATAAAGTGTCAAATGTCTTCATTTCCTCGTTTCTGAAGTAACTCTATTCTTTGATTCCTCTTTATCATTTTGAAAACATAAACTTCAAAAAATCAAGCAGTAGACTTTAGACCTGGTTATGCAACTGAATATTTCTAGAATCTAAAATTCCAATAAATGATTTGCAAGAGCTGGTGTGTGCGTATGTTGCCATGTTAAATAGCACTATCCAGAGACTGGAGGCATTTTAACTTTACTTTCATATTGGCATACTGGTTGGCAATGTGGTTTTCTTGTAACCCAAATTTTGGTCTACTGTTCACAATTTTATTAGTATCTGCAATTCTATATCCACTTACTTGGAATATGTACTGTTCAATAGACTTTCTAATTGTTTTAGAACCATGTGTGAGCTGTTAACTTACAGTGCAATCACTAGTAAAGTCAGTAATTTATCTGACACATGCAGTTACCAGACTAGCAACCCACCTATCCCTTTCTTGCCCTAAGACATTCAGTGAAACGTTATGGGTATTTACTTAGAAGCTGGTTCCACTGAGTTCAGTGGATATTGCTTCTAGGTGAATCTGTAGAGAAGTGCATTCTGCACACTTATCAAGTGTAAGATCTTCCACATAAAGATGCAGAGAAACAGCTTTAAAGTTTTGCTTCTAGGTCTTTTAATGACCTTCACTTGAAGTATGTGATGAAGCAAAATATCAAAAGGAAAACCCCATATTCAATTTGTATGTGTTCAGTATGCCACAGAAAGCAAATCAATAAGAGTGTTGCATTTCAAGACAAATTTGTTAACAATATATTCTTGCATCTGTTTTTTTCATGAAGTAAAAGCCTCCACTAGAATTAGCCTTATCAAAGATATCTGATAGAATCAGACAGCACTTATGGTTATCAGTGATTGTTGAAGTGGTGTCTTCCTAATGCTCATATACAGTATATAGTATTGTGAAGATCAAAGATACTGTGGATCAGGAATTGAGAGTGTCTAGTCAGGATGTTAATTTTTGCTTATTTCATGCTTAAATGCAAGAACAAGGATTTTCAAAAGTTGCCTCTCTTCTGAGCAAGATTCTAAACACTTTTGACTGAGTTTTCATTTTGGAGACAATTTAGTGAGAAATCTCATTTGCTCAGAAAGGCTTTCATTTTTGTACAGAATATACTGTTTCTGCACAAAAACGTAATAAAAGTGCACTTAAAATAAATCTTATGGCAATTGACCCTGTTTAACCTTTTTAATTGAGAATAAGAACATTTGTGAACATTTTTTATATCTTTAATATTTTTGGACTATTAATTCCCATCAGGGGTCACCACTGGCTATATTAGCTGGGACTGATGCTGGCAACAGTCCAACAGCCACTGGTGGACCACTTATTCTCTACCCAACTCCTCTGCCAATAAAATCTTTATAGAATTTCATCAGAAACAATTCCAGCCACAATAGGATGCTCCTCTTCTTTTTCTTCCCCAGTTTTCATTGCCGTATTAAGCTTATGCCAAAACAGTGGGATTTCCCGCTCTTCCTGGGGCCATTTGAGGTAAGTTTTCTTCTTTATCAGTCTTCTCATCCTGTGATAGGGTGACAGATACTCACAGGGAATGTCCTCCAGGAAAATGAGGATCAAGACATCCTTGTGCTGATCGAAGATGCGAAAGCTTGCCACCTGGATCTCCTTGGAGCACCACTCACTTTCTAGGTAGTGGCGACTTATTACACAGATGGTCTTTCGGCTACTATAGATGTTGTCCACGATGTTTTCCAGAATGAATCGCCCTGGCTCAAAGTCTCGGTGATGGAGACAGAGCTTCCAACTATACTGGTTTTCTAGCACTGGCAGGAGGTAATTCATCACCCATTTTTCATCACAAGTGTTGTAGGAAACAAAAGCATCGTAATTGTACTCCATATCTTGACCCTTCCTTTTTTGCTTCTTGTCAATAAAATATGCAAGCAATAGATGGTAAGTGTAGACCATGTGCCATCTCCACTGACAACAGAAGCTAACAAGCATCAGTAAAATGATTGCAGCTGTGTTGATAATATACAGGATAAAGTCATGGTTAGCAGTGCAAGAGGATGTCTTGAAGGTCCGCAGTTTCTTCTCTTTATAGGCAGGAGGGGAGGCACAGGTGTAATCAGAGAAATGGAGGACCTGAGTTTTAGGATTCATTGGTGACCATCTGAGGAAGTCTTGGTTACTGCAGCAACAGGTGAAAGGATTGTTCCTGAGATCTAGAAAAAGGAGTTGAGACAAAGCCTTTATTTGCTCTCTTGTGATAATGTCTATTTGGTTCCCAGCTAATCTTAAAAGCGTCAGCCTCGAAAAGTTTACTTGAGAAACAAAGCTGAGGGAATTTAGTCCATTTTTGTTGAGATGGAGTTCTTTCAGGTTTGATAAAGGCACAAACAGTGTGGCGTTAATGGAGTTAAGATTGTTGTTGCTCAAATCAAGTTCTTGAAGAGTAGGTGTATACTTAAAAGTATCTGAATCCAAAGAAGAGATAGCTAGGTTGCCTGCATGAATTTGTATAATGGACTCTAACCCTTTCAGGAAATTAACTGGAAAATTCTGAAGTCCATCATGACGTTGGCTGTTTATTTGTAGTTTCTTTAATGACTTTAAAAGGTAAAAAGGTGGATAGGCAAGTTTTTGAGAAGATTCATAACTCATGTAATTGTTAAATAGTTCAAGGTCTTCCAAAGAGCTTGCACCTTGAAAGACGCCTTTGTGAAAAGTCTCCTTGGTGATCTTGTTGCTTCCAAGAATAAGAGACTGCAGGTTACTCAAACCTTCAAAGGCTCCTGGTTTTATTGTGACAATCTGATTATCTGCCAGATTAAGGAGCTGCAGAGATGCAAGATTCCTAAAAATTCCTTTGTTTATATGATCCATTTTATTTTGCCTCAGTATCAAAGTTTTCAGCATCTGCAGACTTGCTGAGAAAGGTCCCTTGATCATTTTCAAAGTATTCTCCCCAAGATCTAGTTCTTGCAATCTACACAAGTCAGCAAAGAGGTTTGAATCGACATGGGAGATAGTATTACCGGACATGTAGAGACTCTTAACGTTGTTTAGATGAGCAAAGTCATTGGGAAGAATCCTTTTGATCTTATTAAAACTAAGATCTAGGGTTTCTAATGATGTCACATTAGAAATAGCATTTGGTACCATTGTAAATTTGTTGTATGCCAAAGAGAGAATTTGCAGATAAGGAAGGGATTGAAATACTGATACCGGCAGCACTTTCAGCTTGTTAAATGCCATATTCAAGTGTCTTAGATGTGTGCAGTTTTCAAAAGCTCTTGCTTTAACACTTGTGAATTTGTTTCTTAATAAGTGGAGAGTCTCAACATTTTGATGCCAAAGGCACACCTGCTCTATAAGACCATCGGATTCAGTCAGATTTAAGTGATCTAGGTAGATAATTTCTAGCCCGGAGCAATTCAGTGTTTGAATCACTTCCAATATACCTGATGGATTCATAGCCATTCCTCCCAAATATAATACCTTCAGACCCTTTAAGAAACATGGATCTCGTATTAGCCACACAATGGGGGTTTTTGGGGTAGAGAAAGATAAATCAAGGGAAACAAGGCTTTGCAAAACTGGAGTTGAAACATCAAGGAAAGAAATTGGGTTATGGGATGCATCCAGTTCATGAAGCATCAGAGGTACACTCACAATCTCTTTTGTTGAGAAGTTTTGCAAGTCATTGTCCTTGATGTGCAACTTCTCCAAAGAGTCCATGTTAAACATAGCGTCCATGGCATTCAGGGCATGCAATCTGTTTGAAGATAGATCAATTACCTTTAATTTCTCCAAATGGACAAAGGCAGATGTCTCGATCTTGTCTATTTGATTGTTACCAAGCAGCAGGGTAGAGATGTTTGTGAGCCCAGCAAACATGAGACTGGAGATAAGGTGGAGCTGATTCTCGGTGAGGTTCAAAATCTCCAATTGACCTGTGTTGGTGAAAGTACCTTCTTCAATGTGATGAATTTGGTTCTGAGATATATTCAGAACATGCATGCGAATCAGATTGCTGAAGCTGTTCTTCCTCAGACTTGCAATTCTGTTCTCAGACAAATCCAGGAAAAAAAGTTTGCTTGGCAGATGAGCTGGGACTTCACTCAGGTTTCTGTGGTAGCACAAAACTTTCGTTTCGTTTTCTGCATTGTCATGGATCTCACAGTTATCCAGTGAGTAAGGGGTCACATTTTGTTCTAGGCTGACTAGAAGAAGCAATATTGATACAAGTCCCAGGGAAAGCATTCTCTTCTTATCCATGTTTAACGGCTTCGTGAGAATTAGAAAACAAAATGGATTAATTTGACAGCAGTGAAATCTTACGAAACTGAATGACACGCACAATGGGAGGAAACATACCAAAAGAGGAACTTCTTCGTCATGGTTCTGCATTTGAAAGAAGTGAAACTGCAAGTATGCTGAAGCACTGATACTGTGCAATCTCTACCCAGTTTTGAGTAGGGATTTACAATAAAAAGGACTCAGTAGTTTTTCTGAAGAAGTCCCAAACACCTGTTTAAAGCTTTACCTTTCCCTCAATACCTACCAGCCCAATTGGCAGCAGTTATCATTTTCTAGCTAAACTGGGCCACCAAAGCACTTGTTTGAGTCCACATTAATGGTGGTGTGCTACATAAATAATAGTGAGGCAGAGAATGTCACCTGGCAGCATTTAAATAAAATGCTTCAACAACGCCCACATTTTTGTGTAATCTGGAGCAACTTCCTGATTCCAGGCCTTTCCAGAAACTCAGATTGAAATGAAGCCATGCATACCCAACTGATACAACCTATTTTGTTTTGACATTTGTATGCTAATGGCACAATCTCTCTTTGCATACAGAAGATAATACTATTTATCATATTGGGAAGAGCAAGTTTCTGTCCCTTTGTCTCCTTTCCTCCCATTGTGTTCACTGAGTGCAAACTACTTTGGCACCTTGAAGTAAGCTGAGGATGAGGATGGAAGTAGGAAGAGTTGAGAGAAACAGGGATAGTTTAAAAGCAGCTAAAAATGAGATAAGAGAGGATTGGTTGGGTTTGTCTCTGCCAACTTGGAACGGTTGAAAGGTTTGCTATGTGTTTACTGGAGATATGTTCTCTTGGCTCACATGTCTGACATTGCATCAGCACAGGTGGAACGCTCCCTGTAAAACTTGTGTCCTAACAGGCTCAGCAACTTTTCCCTGTTCCCCTTCTACAATGCATCCCTTGAACGTCTTCCCTTCCAGACAGCTCAGCCAATCAGGGAAAACAGATCAGATCTGGTGAACTGTCATGGACTTCAAGTGGTTGGTGTACTTAGCAAATTTGGTACAAAACACCAATGGTTGAAAAGTGAACATCTGACAAGTAGATCAGGATGAACAGGATTTCCTAGAAGATAACAGAAAGGAGGAGTACAGCTAAGGTAAGCACCTATTTGTACTTGTGCTTTCAAAGGTTCATCTGTAAATAAAACATTTAAAATTTGTGACACTAGAAGTGACAAAGGACTGATAGAAACATTGGCAGTTCTGTCACTTGTTTCTGCTAACTAAAGCAATAATCCCAGTCCTGAGGGATATCCAAGCTCATTCCACTCACCAGTCACCATCAAAATTGAAAATAAATTTAAAATTTGTCTGCTCTTGTCACGCAGCCTTGCACTTTATCCTATGTCCTCTCCCAATTGTTGCAGCTCTGCTCTTCTCTCATTCCCTTTCCCTATTGTTTAGCCTGGCCACATTTACAGCAGCTTACCTCCACTGGTAGTTGAACACAATTTGATTGAGTTTTACTAGTTGTTGTTTTTATATGTGTATGTGTTTTTACTTTTTCTACTGTGTTTTATTTTATGCTCTGTTTTAGGCACCATGGTGCCATGTGTAAGCCACTCCAAGTGCCGTCAGGGAAATTGTGACAGGATACAAGAATAAAGTTATTCTTATATAATAACTATATTGCTTATAAAGTTATGAGAGAATGCTTCTAGAACATGGCCATATAGCCTGGAAAACTCACAGCAACCTAATAAAGTTGTTGTTGCTATTATTATTATTTATTTGTTTCAAACTGTGTTAATTATGCAGTGTAAATGGACCAATAGTCTACCTAAATGGGAGAGTATTTGAGAACCATTTGTGAGAACCGTGCAATAAGAGCAAGGTGTGTGTGTGTGTGCACGCGCGTGCATGTACTTTCAAGATGCTTTTTCATTTGCAGCAACCTTTTATATTTCCTTGGGTTTTCTTAATTCTCAAGGAATACTCAAAGATGGTTTTGTCAGTTCCTTCTTCTGAAATATATTATGTGCCTTGGTTTTTTAAAGCAAGGAAGCTCCTATAATAATAGAAAATAGGAGAATGGTGAAGATGAAAGAAATGTCTATATGCTTACCCTAGCAATACAGACACTGTGAGAATCGAATGAGGTACTAACGGTTGCATACCAAAAATAAAAACAGGAACAATGACCAGGGGCAGGATTTTCCATAAAGTGTAGTCTGAGGCTATGCAAGTAATTCATTACGTTTTACTTATGGATTGTGCAGTAGATTGCTCTTATAGATATAGAATCCGCAATATCTTTTTTGCTGATTTCAGAACTTCTCCTGATTTCTTAAATATGTATTTTCCATGTGAATGCAAGTTGCAGTGCATATTAGGGGTGTGTTTTCTAGCCTCCACCCCCACCTCCCCATTCTCCACATCATACTGGATTTTACAGCATGTGTGAGTCGGGCCTGAAAGAAAATTCATGCCTTGTAAAGCCTTGATTCCTCTACCACCAAGAAACACCTAGAACATGGAGAAGTAACCATGTGCTCTGTGTTTTATTTGGATTATAATTCCTATTGGCCCCTATCAGCATGCCCAGTGGTTGTTAATCATGGGACTTGCAGTCCAAATCACGTGGAGGACAGTTTGCTGCTTACACTTCTTTGAGATAATTTGAGTATTTATTTTATTTTATTTTTATAAAATAAAAATGAATAAAAAGGCACCACTTAGATTCTTTGATACAGTCACTGTTCTGTAGATTATGATGATTATATAGGATAACTGTAGCATGCAATTTGCCATGAAGCGTCATTCTTTCCAGCAGTGGCAAGATGTTTCTTCTGCATAGGTGTGGCTATGGCCCTGTAAGTGGATGGCATAATTCCATCAAACACAGGCTTACTTGCATTTGTCTGCACTTCAGGGGTTTCTCAGTAAGGCTTGCTTTTGTGCATCTGTTACAGAAAAATGTGTGAAGTGTTAAAAGGAAGGAAATATTTTTGGTGCTTTGATCGACACAGTAGCAGCATGAGAACACAAGAAGTAGAAAGGTATGAGGGGGCTGTGTGAAGTCAAGTCTATTTAGCGTAATAAACTGTAAGAAACGCATAGCAGTAGCCTTAAAAAAACTAGGGGAAACAGGCAGAAGCATGAGAACAACAATTGGGGAGAAAGATGACCTCAGAAAACCTGACATAGATTTTCTCCTGGTATTGAAACACAAATAGATCATTATACACAACAAGAAATGTAGCTGTTGAAGATCATTGTGTTATAGCTTGTGGCTTTTAAAATAATTATTTTTATTAATATTTCATCATGAGCCATGGTGGCACAATGGGTTAAGCCCTTATGCCAGCTGAACTGCTTACCTGAAGTTTGGTGGTTAAAATCTGTGAGACAGGGTGAGCACCCATTTGTCAGCTCCAGCTTCACATGCGGGGACATGAGAGAAGCCTCCCACAGGATGGTACAACATCTGGGCATACCCTGGGCAATGTCTCTGCAGACCACCAATTATCTTGCAGTTTCTCAACTGGCTTCTGACACACAAAAAAAAAATCATGGGTAATGTAAGATAAAGACTTACATCATTGTATTATAATAATATCTACATCCATAAACAAAAAAACCCATCTTACTTCCAAATCATTGTATTATAATAATATCCACATCCATACATAAAAACCCCCATCTTACTTCCAAATCATTGTATTATAATAATATCCACATCCATAAATAAAAAAACCCATCCTCCTTCCAAACATAGTAAAGTAAAGGTATTCCCTGACATTTAGTCTACTCGTGTCCGACTCAGGGGGTTGGTACTCATCTCCATTTCTAAGCCAAAAAGCCGGCGTTGTACATAGACAACTAGGTCATGTGACCAGCATGACTGTATGGAGCAGCATTACCAATAAGTGGTACCTATTTATCTACTCACATTTGCATGTTTTTGAACTGCTAGATTGGCAGAAGCTGGGGCTAGCAGCAGGACCTCACCCCGTTTCCTGGATTCAAACTGCCAACCTTTCAGTCAGCAAGTTCAGCAGCTCAGTGGTTTAACCCATTGCGCCACCAGGGCCCCCCAAACATAACATTCCCCATTATACTATAATACTTCAAAAATGAAATAAAGAAGTGATAGATCATCTCCTCCCCCGGTTATGAAGTGGGGGGCGGGGGGAGAAACATTCCACAGAAAGAAGAAAAACATATTTAAACCACAATTGCACTACTAAAATAAATGAAATATACTAAACTGTGCATATGAAAGTTAAAATTGACTTCCCACTCACCAACTCAAAGATATTTCTGTTGAAAACATTTAAAACATCATCTTGCTATTAGGTATAGTGTAAAATTGGCGTTATTTCTACCCTATTTTATATTAATATTCTTCCATCTTCATATCCCAGAAGTAACGTAAAGGTAAAGGGTTCACCTTGACATGAAGTCTAGTCGAATCTGATGCTAGAGGCTGGTGCTCATCTCCATTTCTAAGCCAAAGAGCCTACCTTGTCCGTAGACACCTCCTAAGTCATGTGGCTGGCATGACTGCAGAGTGCTGTTACCTTCCCTCTGAAGCAGTACCTATAGTTCTACTCACATTTGCATGCTTTCAAACTGCTAGGTTGGCAGCAGCTGGGATTAACAACAGGAGCTCACCCTCTTCCGCAGATTCGAACTGCCAACCTTTTGGTCATCAAGTTCTTTAGCTTAGCAGTTTAACCCCGTGTACCACCATGGCCCCTGAAGTACCTTTATGCCATAAAAGGTTTCCAAGCAACAGCGGTAGAGTGAATTACCTTTTACAAATATAGAAAAAAGACACCAAAGACCAACGAAGATTAGAGGGAAGTCAACATTTTTCTTCTTCTCTCTCTCTTATTTTTCCTATCTCTCTTTCGGGGCTTTCCCCCCCTTTCCAATATTAAATTTTATTTTCCTACTATTCTCTTATCTATAACGACAATGTTCTCCCACTATCGATGTAATTTCAATTTTATAAAACTTTAAAATAAAAATACTTTTTAAAAAAAGTTTACCAAGCATTTTAAAATGTTTCTAAAGTCTTCACCTTTATTATAATAACTGATTTGTCCATTTCATCCATTTCAAGCATCTTGACTATACACGTTTCTCTCATTGGTAATTCTATTTTTCTACTTTTGAGCTTAAAGTATTTTTGCAGATAGAACCATATATTGTATTGTTAAAAATTAAGGGATTTGCATATTTGATAGTCCTACTAGGAGTTGGATCAAGATTTTTAAAAACCTCTTGCGTTAAGCTTGTGGCTTGTTAATTGTTCTTGCAGGAGCATGTACTTTGGTCACAATATGATGCAACACTTAATGGTGTTTGATGGAAAAACTGAGTCAACCTGCTTTAGGGTCTAGCTCCAGCTACTGTTACGTGCCCAGATAACACCAGTGGAGTTCAAAGTGACCTTCAGTATTTCAGTTGTCAGTGCATATGTTTTAAAAATAGTTCATTCCTTTGGTAGTAAGGAATGCAAAGTCACAGGTTTGTCGGACTCTTTTCTCAAGGAGAAAATTCATGGTTTGTGTGTAAATAAAAAAATACTTGGTGAAGCTGGAAGAAAGTGTGGCTTCTTCTCACTGGCATATAATTTCTTGTGCCAAAATATAAACTTTCTGGAAGACAAGAAAAAAATCTACCTGAATACTGCAGAACCAGCATACTCACAGTATTAATCCTAGTATAACAGTTATTTTAGAAGCAATTGGTAGGACACAATATTTTTTCTGCCCCTAAATCCATTTCATTTATTGTGTTTATTCAATTTACCCCCCCCCCCCGCCCTCCATTCTGTCATGGGACCCACAAGACCTAATAATCTGATTGGCAGCAGAGCAACATCTCTAGGAAGAGCATTGCCGATGCAGTGTGCTCCTGCAGAAAAGATCCTCCCGTGGATTGTGACCCTGCATGGGATATACAGAATACATCTGCACATATAGCTTAACCGCAGCCATGGAATACTGATGCTGCTGCCGCTGCTATTGAACAGTCATGGAGTGGGAGGGAGAAGACTGGGAGTGGGAACTTCTTCTCTCTCCCCCTCAGTTTGCTGCAGAGACAGGAAAAGAAAGAATAATGTTGTCTCTTTGCCTCTCTCATGAGCAGGGGAACAAAAACATTGTCTTTGCTACTCTGGACTCTTCTACACAGGGCCAAAACCCATGACGGATCATGGGTTTACCCGAGTTGTCCAAACAACACATCAAGTAAACCTGGATTAATTTGGAGAAACTAGGATATTCTATTTTTCTCCAGATTAATTTGACACCTGAAAAGTTACACACCTCAAACTAAGGTCCGGATCGTTGCAGGTGCTAAGTCTGTGGGGATAGATTCCCGTGAGTCCCACGGTCCCGGGGGTCAATCCCCACAGCAATGCTGGTTCTTTGGGCTCCTGGAGCTTGAAGGAATGGGGTGCTGCCCATCCCCTCCTCTCCCAGTCCCCCATTTTAATAATAATAATATAATAAAACTTTATACCCCACCACCATCGCCCCAAGGGACTTGGAGCGGCTTACATGAGGCCAAGCCCAATAACACATCAATAAAACAACAAGCAATAAACAAAATAAGCAATACAATTAGTATAACTCACATGTAGACAATAAACACAATAATTTAACAGCCTATGGCCGGGCCAGATGTAATAGTTAAAACTTTAAAAATAAATGCTGGACATTTTCCCCTCAAAAACTTACCCAAGGGACCTGCTGGCAGTGCAGACCCCTCCGAACAGTTCTCCTGGTGCATGAAAATGATGCATCCAGAGGTGGGTGGAGGAGGAGGGAAATTTTCTGAGGGTGAGTTTTTGAGGAGGAAATAGGGAACTGGATGCCACCCCCTAAAGGGAAAGCTTATGGTTTGGGTTGTAGAGTGTGGGGACAGAAATAACCCAATTCCTCTGGGGTTTTAAGGCAGTGTAGAAGGGCCCTCACTTGTCTCTTTCTCTCCCACTCCTCTGTAGCAACAGAGGATAGCCTCTTGCACCATTTTTTAAAAAAGGACACAGGTACATGTTACATGCCATCAGTGGTAAATCACCATACTTTTCTAAATGTCAAAAGTGTAAGTTGAGATTTGAGAATAACTTTCACTCATTCATTTCTTTGAAACTGATATTTTTGCAAAAAATTCCCTTCCAAAGGCCATCAAATACAGAATGGGTGATGCCTGGCTTGACAATAATCCACGTGAAAAAAAGTTGAACATGAGCCAACAATGTGATGCAGCAGCTTAAAAAACCAATGGGATTTTGGGCTGCATCAAAAGGAGTATAGTGTCTAGATCAAGGGAAGTAATGGTATCTCTCTATTCTGCTTTGGTTAGACCTCACCTGGAATACTATGTCCAATTCTGGGCACCATATTTAAAAGAGATGTTAACAAGCTGGAACATGTCCAGAGAAAGGTAAATAAAATGATCAAAGGTCTGGAGGCCGTTTTAAAGAGCAGGGTATGTTTAGCCTGCAGAAGAGAAAGTTGAGAGGAGACATGATAGCCATGTATAAATATGTCATAAGGAAGAAGGGGCAGGCTTGTTTTCTGCTGCCCTTGAAACTAGGAGTCAGAGAAATGGGTTCAAATAATAGGAAAGGAGATTCCACCTGAACATTAGGAGGAACTTCCTAACTGTGACAGCTGTTCAGCAGTCAAACCTTCTGCCTCGGAGTGTGGTGGAGGCTCCTTCCTTGGAAGCTTTTAAACAAAGGCTGGATGGCTATATGTAGCGGTGCTTTGATGGTGTTTTTCCTCCATGGCAGGGGGTTGGACTAGATGGCCCATGTGGTCTCATCCAACTCTATTATTCTATGATTTTATGAAATATATATTAGGAAATGTGAAGAGCATTTGCACCATATTTGAAGACCCCCGGGTCCATAAGCAATCAAAAACAATTTCTAAAACAAATTCATAATAGGTTTTATTTTGCCCCCAAGTGTCCTTTAGCCTCCAAGTGTCTAAAGCACATTTCCACCACATTTTGATTCAAGAAATTGCAGGTCCCCTAGGAGTAGAGGGCATGTGGGGGTTTAAAAAAGCTTTTTTTTTTTTTTTGAGGAAGCAAGTGGGGTGGAGGGATATGGTCTTCAATATTTCCTGGGCAGACTAATAGCTTCCTTCTCCACTAGTCCCCCTCGGAGTAATAGCCTATTGCTGCTTTAAATACTAAAATGCACCAAACTGTCCAAACGGATTGCCAGTTTCCATTGTAGTATTGCCAACTCTGTAGACATAATTTTGCTTTATTTGTCACTTACAATGATGTCATAATGAGAAAGCACCAACTAAAACAAGAAATCAAAGAAAAACATTTAACAAAAGCAAACACCTGCATCCCTTTCACCAGGAAAAGGAAGCGAAATGGATAAATAATTCTTGCATTGTTGAGTAAGAAAATGTGATTAAACAGATGCTGAAAGCTTTGCAGAAGTTCCTGAGTATTAGCATTGTTCCTGTAAAATTGTATAGTGTCAGGGATGTAAAGTATTGAAATAAAAGGGGAAGAAAGGGGGAAATCCCTTTTCATGATTGTTAGGCATCAGACTTCAAACTCTGTGTATAATCTGCATAGTGTTGCTCTCCACGAAACTCAGATTGGTTTGAATTTCATGAAACGTGCTATTTTAGGTTGAATCTACAGAGACTGCATTTTACTACGATCCCACTTCCTTTTGTTTCAATATAAAATGTTCTTTCAACGCATCAGGGCTTTAAGTCAGGGGTGTCAAACTCATTTTCCCCAAACTCATTTTCACATCAGACTTATGGCTTCCTTCAAAGGGAAATTTGTAATTATAACACTGTATGAATGTAATTATGTTGCCCTGGCATTGAAAGCCTCACAGGCCACATAAAATGGCATGGCGGGCCAGATTAGCCCACAAGACTTCAAAGGATTTTTCAAAGGTTTCCGTATAGCCTTCTGTTTTGAAAAAGGACCATTTTTAAAAAACTTGTGGCTTGATCCCCGAATTGGGATCATGATAGCATTAGGAGTGGAGGGTGTGGGAGAGAGTGGGTCCAGGTTGCTGGTGGTCCACTAGATCAGGTGGCCAACTGGACCATCTGATTTTTCTCACTATAGAAGGGTAGCTCCTTTGTTTGGATTTGGTGCTGATAACCTTCACACGCATAGTGTTGCACAAATTCAGAGGTTGGCATTTCACCTCCCCAAACTCTATCGACTTCCCTTTACAGAAACAAAAGTGGGCAATCAGAACAAAGCGAAAACAAAGGTTATTGATTAAGCAAATATGCATGTGTGGCAGGAATCCAAAAAAGTCATGCAGCTCATATGTCCAAACATAAAAAGATACAGTAGAAACACCCCCTTGTGCTGATGTGGCTACATAATAGAGACCCACACTAATTTGGATTAAAACTAGTGTGTGAGATAATAGAGGGGTCAAGCCAAGGCAAACAGAGTACACAGTGGAGCTGAGATACTGCTCTCATATAGATTCAGCCTTACTGACAAATCTCATAATAGAACACTCTGATAGCTTTTCCAGGATAGGTATTATTATATGCACAACATTGTATACTGCATTTGTTCAAGCAATACCAAATACTAATGCCTGTGTTGCAAGGAAACCTTATTTTCCTAGCAGTAAAATAGTTTGGTTTCAAAACTGCAGTTTTCATCCTAACTGCATCAATTATGACAGAAGATACTGTGTCAAATATTACAGCGATGTCACAGACTGTGGTATCACTGATGCAGAACAGCACAAATGGCCTAAGCTTATGCCAATTTACTGCTTTGAAAAATAACAATGCCCCTTTTAGATGCTAATCATTAACCTTTTTTCTTGTTCCTTTCTTCCTCCTTTTGTGTGTGTCAGGTTTGTAGGCTGATATCTTCAACTGTAGTGTCAGTACAGCTCTAAGGCTACATGATTTCTTTTGCCACCTGAAAAGTCCCGCTCTTCCACTGTTTAAATGGAGAAGGGAGTGCCTCAGAATCTGGAAGAAGATCTTAGCCAGCTGCATAACTCCATTGGAGGCTGCAGTCTAACAGGTAAGAAAAGTTCTCATTTCCCTCATACTTGTAATCTGAGCTGGTACTTCAGAGTGGGCATGGTGAAGGGATATGCCCTCCCAATGTTTCCTGGGGTTCTGATGTGGCCAGCATCTTCTGCAGTTGCCCACTTTTTAGTCTAATCACTTGCTTAGTGCAAGAATCTGCTTCAATTCCTGTTTAAATGACTCCAGTGAAAGGAAATTCAATCACCACCCAGAGAGGCTGCCCTGTGGTCTAATGGCTTTTTCCATCAGTAAATTTCTCATAATGTCTAGTCAGAACCTAAGCTGGTAAGTACCTACCTACCTACTTATCTATCATACTTAATCAAGGTAACTCCAGCCATAGATAGATGGATAGATAGATAGATAGATTTTTTTTTGTCATGTCAGGAGCAACTTGAGAAACTGCAAGTCGCTTCTGGTGTGAGATAGATAGGTAGACAGACAGATGACAGGCAGCTTTGGATATCTCCGGGAGGACTAACTTCCCTGCGGTGATTGTTTTGCTGTCTGCTCCCCTATTCAGAAGAATTCCAGAGTGATGATGTTATGCTAAGTGCAGGTCTGATCACTAAAAAGATCTTTATTCTAAATCGTGGGATACCAGAACTACCAAGTGTGTTATCAGATCAGCTCCCAACTCATGAATATTCCTCTTGGAACTAATAGGCTGGCCTGTAATATGTCCGGTTTACCTTAAATCATCGGATAATATTCTAAAAAAAAAAAAAAACCAACCATCACTGGACCCCACTCAATTTGTCAACTTTCGGCCAGTCTCCAATCTCCCCTACTTGGGCAAAGTCCTGGAACGTGTGGTGGCCTCGCAACTCCAGGAATTCCTGGTAGACACTAACTATCTAGATCCGGCACAGTCTGGCTTTAGGCCGGGACATGGTACTGAGACAGCCTTGGTCGCCTTAGTGGATGATCTTCGCCGGGAACTAGACAGGGGGAGTGTGTCCCTGTTGGTTCTGCTGGACCTCTCTTCGGCCTTCGATACCGTCGACCACGGTATCCTTCTGGGACGCCTCGCAGGAATGGGTCTTGGGGGTACTGCTTTGCAGTGGCTCCGGTCCTTCCTCGAGGGTCGCTCCCAGAAGGTGTCACTAGGGGACTCCTGCTCGACTCCTCGGCCATTGTACTGTGGAGTCCCGCAGGGTTCAGTACTGTCCCCTATGTTGTTTAACATATACATGAAGCCGTTGGGAGAGATCATCCGGAGTTTTGGGGTACGATGTCATCTGTACGCAGATGATGTCCAACTCTATCACTCCTTTCCACCTACCACTAAGGAGGCTGTTCAGGTCATGAACCGGTGCTTGGCCGCTGTCTCGGACTGGATGAGGAACAACAGATTGAAACTAAATCCAGACAAGACAGAGGTACTCCTGGTCAGTCGTAAGACCGAACAGGGTACGGGGTTACAGCCTGTGCTGGACGGGGTCACACTCCCCCTAAAAGCACAGGTACGCAGTCTGGGAGTTCTCCTGGATTCATCGCTGAGCCTGGAACCCCAGGTTTCAGCGGTGGTCAGGGGAGCATTCGCACAATTAAAACTTGTGCGCCAGCTGCGTCCGTACCTTGGGAGGGCTGACTTGGCCACGGTAGTACACGCTTTGGTTACATCCCGCTTAGACTACTGCAACGCTCTCTACGTGGGGTTGCCTTTGAAGACTGCCCGGAAGCTGCAGCAAGTCCAACATGCGGCAGCCAGATTACTAACCGGGGCTGGGAACAGGGAGCACACCACTCCGCTGTTACGACAGCTTCATTGGCTGCCAATTAGCTTCCGAGCACAATTCAAAGTGCTGGTGTTGACGTATAAAGGCCTAAACGACTCCGGCCCTGTTTACCTCTCTGAACATATTCTCCCCTATGAACCATCAAGATCGTCTGGAGAGGCCCTGCTCTCGGTCCCACCGGCCTCGCAAGCGCGCCTGGTGGGGACGAGGGACAGGGCCTTCTCGGTGGTGGCCCCGCGACTCTGGAACTCTCTCCCTCTGGAGGCCAGAACCACCCCATCCATCCTAACATTTAGGAAACGGGTGAAGACGTGGCTGTGGAGTCAGGCCTTCGATGAATGAGACAACACCATAGGACCCTGGATGGAAGTTGATGTAGATCCATCTTAATAGGACGACTGACCACTGTAGTTTTATATATAGTGTTTTTAAAGTTGTTTTTGTAATTGTGATATATGATATTTTAATGAGTGTATATGTTTTTTATGGCTGGAAACCGGGCTGAGTCCCTCAATGAGGTTGAGAAGCTCGGTATAGAAAACTGTGAAATAAATAAATAAATAAATAAATAAATAAATAAATAAATATGTTTCCCCTCCTTAGAGTTGTTGAGGTGGTTGTAACACAACACACAACCAATCCTTTTCTACTTTTCCAGCACATTTTATGTGGGTGAGAATGATATGTCAGCATGTTTGTGTAAACAACAGCAACTTGGGCAGGATCTGCTATAAACAAAGTAGCTCTTTTGAAAGTAGAGTTTCTGTCTTTACTTGGTCCAATCCATAGAAAATCAGGTTGCACCTTGAGCCTTATGAAGTTTTATTCAGATTTAAGTGACTACTTAAGTGCGTACTCCCAAGAAAGTGTGCACAGGAAAACCATTTTAAACATTAGTAAATTTGTAGTTGGGGAAAAAAATCAATGGGCAGACTCTTTTTATTTGTTTAACTTACACAACTGCACAACTGATTATTTTTAAAATTATCTGGACTGACACTAAAACAGAAAGAAAAGTAATAAACATGTATTTTCCTCCTGATTATCACTGGCAGCTTTGCTTATTAAATTGCAAATTAATGTCTCACTTGGCTCAGTATCTCAAAGAGGCACCTGTATTTAAGTTTTAGCAATTATTCACATTTAATTTGGAATTTGTATCAGTTGTTTAATCAATGTCAGAGAGTATGCTTAATCAAAGGGGAATTCTTTACTATGTGACCAGCCCTGTTCTGAGTTTCGTGGTGAGCCCAATCTAGATCGGGGAATGTGTAGCAATTCAGATGTTACTGATTTGCAATCCCTGTTATTCTTTACCATTGGCAATGCTGTGTAAAATGAGTGAGGGCTGCAAGCCAACATCACACACTCTCTGTCACAGGTTCTTCCCTCTCTCCTATCCAATATTCTAAACAAATTAGGAATTCAAGGACATTTCAGATTTTTAGCTCTCTTGAATTATTGGTGAAGTGGCATATTTCCATAAACTTTACTATCAGAAATCTGATGGAAGGCAGTTGACCAAGTGCTAATGAAGGTGGTCAGTTGAAACATTCGCACCTAGCTCCAGCAGAGAACCCTAGCTCCAGTGAACCCTAGTTCCAAGGGTTCTAGACTCAACTACTGACTATCAAGAGCCCCCTTGTTGGAAATTGCAACCTTCCAAGCCTTCACTATTTGTTTGTTAATGTAGATATTCGCTAACCTGTATTGTATGTATATATTGATTTGCCAGTTTGACTGACGTCTTTGGTGTGAGAGTGGCTACAGACATGTGATTGTACTGAGCATGTTCAGACTCAAGACTCCATTTTGTTATCAGTATAATTTTGGGATTCAATGTGAGCTTTAGACCTCAGTGGAGGTGGATGCAGTATGGTTATGGACTTCAATGGAAGCAGTTTGCATTTGGTCTTATGCAGAACAGTTATTATATGTTTGCTTTGAGAAACAGTGAGTACAGTTATACAGTTTGGACTTTCATAAGATGTATACTTAAAGAGTTTGGACTATGAACTATTGATTAAGAATGATGCCCTGTGTTCTCAACACAGAGAAACTACATTCTATCTATAAACGTGCCTGTATACTGAATTACTACAGGATGTTTATGAGTAAACAAGATCTGTTACTTTTTAATGAAGATTTTGTTTTTTGTCTCTGAGTGCATATTTTTAAACTAAGAGATTTCAAGGGAGAGTATATGTTTTGGGCAACTGCAATTTCAACACACTTGAACAGGTAAACCACTTTATTTTAAGATTGTTGTGCATGGTAACAAATAATGCAAAGAAATCCTTATTTGTGGTGAATAAATATATGTGTGAACATATGTGGATGCATGATAAAATATTGCTTTTTGGGTTACTTTAATCAAGAAACCATGCAAGATGACATGGAAAAATGTTTTATGATTATCCTTTAATTTGTTTTGTAACATGAATTGAAATGAAAAATATGAGCACTATTTTAATATTTTTATCCAGTAAGTCTTTCTCATAACCTGCTCGGGGTGTTGTGGCTGAAGATCCTACACTGAGGAGCAGGTTGAGCCAAGAAAACCCCCTCCATGATTCTGTCACTTTTTCCTGCTTACCTTTATATGTCTTGCATCAAAAAATACTGAATTTTCAAAGTATGAACGTATGGAATTGAGTACAGCAAAGGAGGAAATCCTTGTATGATGACGACATTCTTTTTTGGAAGCAAAGGTTAGCTGCTGCTGGTGATGATGATGACAATGATGATACGTAAGGTATATTAGATAGAAAATGATCATGACCAAAGAGATCTTAAAGTCATGGTCTTCTCTTCATGATGTACTAACACTATTTTGCTACATTTCTTGCATCTCTCTTTACATGTATTCATCTCAGTGTGGGTGAAGTCATTTTTTATGGCAGTTTTCAGCAGCTCAGACCAAACCAAGCATTTCAAGTCCTTGTTGGCCAAAATAGTTTGATATTTTAACATTTTGAAACATTTCAATCATGTGAACTGTACTGTTCAATTTAATGCAATTTACTGGAGTGTGAAAATGTCACTGTGACAAGCTGATGAAAAAATTGAACTCACGGTGGTCATTTTTAAATGCCACTTTTAAAGGAATGTATTTCCTCAAAGTCTCTTATGAGATGCTCTGAATAGCTAAGGAGATAGTACATGGACGTTTTCATAAGGGTGGACCAGAAGTGGGAACTACATGGTCTTCCAGCGGTCGCTGAGCTAAAATTCTCAGCAGCTGGTTTGC